ACCTGAACAAGTGGCAAATGGCAGTCAGCCGTTTTTTCACGTAGTTTACGTGAGGGGTACAATACAGGTCTAGGTCGATTATGACTTCCAAGAACCTGTGACTGTGGCTGGGAGACACCACCTGGTGAACGCCACGACTGCACACTTCCCACTAGCGATCTCGAGCCCTTGTTTACGTAGATAGTGCGATGTCGCTGATTCTCCCTTTGAAGTCGAGCGCGAAGTAGAAGTCAAGTCACACCTGACGTCCATACACAGAAGTCATCATCATAAAGTGAAAGTCGTATGCTTCTTGACTACTTGCCAACTAGTCCAATGAGTGTTAGGTTGAACAACATCGGTCTTAGCACTCCGCCTTGCTGGACTCCTCGGCTACCGTACTCGGGTGACGGGCCATTCTCTGTCTGCACGTGAAATTACCTATTCTGTAGGTAGCTCTGAACCCACATATATATCTTACCACCGAGTCCTACTACTTCTAATGCGCTGAAAATGGCTTTGTGGGTGACATTGTCGTAAGCCCCTTTAACATCAACAAACAGAGCACCAGACAATCGTTTACAGGCCTTCTGGTGCTCTACTCATGTCACCAAGTTAACTACACTGTCAATTGATTAGTGGCCTCGTCATAACCCGGACATGGCATTTGGATATATTTCGTAGAACTCTAAGTATCATTCCTGACGCGTTAGAATCATTCTCTTCTTGACTTTTCGCACACAGCTCGCGAGGGTGATCGGGTAGTAGAAGAAAATGTCCAAAGGTGACTTGCCGGCTTTGAGAAGTGGAATCAGGCAACTTGACTTCCATTCATGTGGAACTATATGCCAGTTTGTCAGTAGTCGCTGTATAGCAGCAATAGTGTCTTACGAGCTTGATCTCCGAGTTTACACCAAGCGTGGTAGGCGATGCCGTCAGGTTCTGGCGCTGAAGAACGTGTACACAAAGCAAGTGCAGCGTTCAGTGGAAATTTTACAAGTCTTAAGTACAAGCAAAGATTTTTCGGGTAGCAGGCTTTGCCAAATTGCAGGCTTTGCCAAAAAAAAGTCTCTTCAACTTTTGCTGCTGGACATTCCCACATGGTGTACTGCTTGCACTAGTCTGTTATTTACGTACTGCACCGAGAATTCACCTCGTATACTTGTGCGTTGTCGTCTGAAATTTTTTCCTTCTTGCTGATGTTATTTCTCGCACATTCGCGCATATTTTATATTTATTAAACTTTTCGTAATCAAAGGCATACTTCAGTCACAATTTTATAGTTTCGCCTTCAACTCTAGGTATTACTTTCATAGCTGGGAAAGGCAAAACAGCTCCAAATAACGAATTTTGAGAAAGACGGAACACAACACGGGTGTTTGACAGCGCTCGTACATTGTCCAATCTTTCTTATATGGTGTCCAAACTGCTACTCAACGAGACAGTTATCACTATTTATGAGCCACAAAGCTCTAAAAGTGTCCTTCTTCATGTATGTTTAACGTCGGATTCAATTCGGTAGCCCGAACACGTCGTGGTCGCCATGTTTTACAAACACGTTGTCAGGATCAATCTCAACTAGCGATTTTGTAGCGAGCCACTCTAGTGTTCCTTTGCGTAATCGGTACAATTTCTTTACTGAACCATATAACTTCTACAGTAAAAAAAAAGAAAAAAAACTGCAGATCCCACGTACCTGGGAATCGACGTTATGCGAAGCATGCAGAGGGAAGGTGACCGTGTTGCAAGTTTTTTATTGTGTGACACGCCATGAAATCACGCTAAATATATCTACAAACGTTGGACGCACAGACATATGTTGAAGAGTTGCAGATGTTTATATAACCAGTTATTTGCACTTGCGCAACGATGCCAACGGGAACATACATATTAGCAACACCAGAAGCTGATATGAAGCGCTTATGCTCGCGAGGATGCTGGCCCTGAATACTGCCACATAAATCAACTTCAGCGCATGGCAACTAACCACAATTGACGTTAACCCGACGTGACGGGTGTATGAAAAAAAGCACATGTGAAATGTCTGTAAAAGTGGGTAGGCAGCACTGCAAGCACTATTGACGTTTCACGAAGATTAGCGCATATTTGAAAAGCAGTACTGTGACCGCAGCACTGTGGTTAAATGCTTCATTGCCACGCAGATTGCTTGGGTTCGATTCCAGCTGGGACCCTGAAATTTGTTATTTGCATTCGTCGGGTTGACGCTACCGATTTCGGTCATTTCTTAACGCTCGCACGTTGAAACTGCCCATGTGTGTTCTCGTCATTCCTGGGTAGATACTAAGTGTCAATCACTTGTGGCATATAACCACATACCAGTGGCACATACCTGCCCGCGGGTATGTGCCACTGTCTGGCGGGACGTGTTTAACGACATACGTGACGGTATTGTGACATTATTGAGGTCTTGAGCAGCGCGTTATATTCGTCAAACCATCTTAATCTTCCATGCTAATTTTGGTTCACGCCAAGTTAAGGGGCTGACCACGAAAGCATCCAAACGTAGGCGGCTAGATAGATAGATATATGGATAGATAGATAGATAGATACGCTCAAAGTCGCCGAAGTTTGCTAAGAAACGCTTCGCATTTAAAACAAAACAAGAATCAGGCGCACCCGCATTTCACTTTCGTCGATTCGCTTCGCCCTTTTCCTCTTCCTCCTCACCCACTCACCACTCACGTTCACGTTCACAGCTTTACTATGAAGAGCTTTGGTAATATTGTGCAGATATCAATTCGCATCAAATTATATTCCTCATATCGTTAAGTAATAAATGTCATCAAGGGAATTACATGCACTTCCTATAAAGTCGCGTCGCATACTATTTCACTCTGTTGAGGTAGTTTAAACGCCATCTTTAGGTCACATGTTCGGTGCCAAACCACAGCAACCGCAGTGCGGCGTGGCGAAAGGCAGTAGCGCACGCGTATACTTTCCCGTAGGCACCTGTTAACGGTGCCTAAATTGTCAAAACGATCCATAGCTCCTAGAAATTAACCCCATATCTGAAGAAATCATACAGAAGCGATGAGTTACAATTACCGCAATGCCAAATATTGTTGACCTCGGAGATCCTTCAGGGCGCTTCAAGCTCAGCGGCGATTCCCCTCATACGAGAGTATAAGCAAGATATATAAAAAGCAGGTGGTCGCAAAGAAGACGCTGTTGACAGCAAGACTCGAAGGGTGATCTCAGGAGCGCCGTCCGAAGCCGTTACGACACAATGTACCTCCTTGCCCGGAAAAACGGGTGAGACATTGGCGAACAAAAATAAATCGGTGGACACACCATTAAAACTGCCTTTCTTTAGCTTTTTTTTTCTTTCGAGAGATCCTTCACACCCTTCATGGTTTATTGATTTTACCATCGAGAACATTACGATAACATCCATTACGGCGAAATAATTCAGTAGTGTTCAAAAATATCAAAGAGGGCTTGCATTAGCTATTGTTCGCAACAGTCGCGGGAAAGAAACCCATTGAAGGAGCTTGTGCACCTACTGACTCTATTGCGAAAAAGTTAAGATCTCACTGGTACAGTGCTGCAGCTTTTATGATGCTTCGCGACGCAGTCGAATTGGAAAAATACGTACTTCCGAAGAATACAAGTGACACGTGTCTGAACGCAACGCTAATGTATCTTACATATCTTTCATGGTGTAGCCCTTAAAGTGCTATAGAGGAAGTGGGCTGACAGGCGAAAATATACGCTAATAGCGTAGAATGACAAAAAGAAAGGAATAAATAAACAAGAACAACTCACAATTGCACAGGAATGTGTTTTGATCTTAAGTTATGATCCATGGCGGTAAAAACGGTATTGGCATAGCGAATAGAGCAAAGTATACAGGTACTTCTAGTCGTCAGTGGTGTTCACAGTTTTACAGCGCGGCCGTATTAGCGAACAGAGCACTAGTGATCAAGCACTCTGAAATAATTATGGGCATATTTGTATATATTTTTGTATATATGAAGTTAGATGAGGAAATTGATGTTTCCAATAATACCTCAAATAAATCACGTAGGCCTATTTTGATTTGTAGATAGCGCTGGCTGCTCAGCACACGTTACCAACAATTACAAATCATTCATTAGTATTCTGTATACCGTCATCCTACCCTCAAGTAGCCAGCACGCATCGCCACAAAAGTAGACCTACCTTGTAGCTTTTATGAGGCACGAGGATTAATGCCGCAAGATGAACTGTACGTTCACTATATCAGACTCTACGTTGATGATGATATGTGGGGCTTAACGTCCCAAAACCACCGTATGATTATGAGAGACGCCGTAGTGGAGGGCTCCGGAAATTTCGACCACCTGGGGTTCTTCAACGTGCACCCAAATCTGAGCACACGGGCCTACAACATTTCCGCCTCCATCGGAAATGCAGCCGCCGCAGCCGGGATTCGAACCCGCGACATGAGGGTCAGCAGCCAAATACCTTAGCCACTAGACCACTGCGGTGGGGCCAGACTATACGTTGCGTAAACTACTTCAGGTACAAGACTGAACAGCCGGACTAGATGCGCACAACTTCTAACAATCAGGAATACATAAAAGACGCCTTGTGGGATTATTTTTATTGTCGGTTATGAGGCGTTGATAATGAAAATGGCACAACATTTGACACGTGGCTTGAGCTTGGAGTTCCTCGGTTCTTGGCGAAGCACAGTCTGTACAATACGCAACCAGAAAACGCTGCTTTCTTCTAAGAAGTACTCAAGTGAACGGAACATAAGAAATTACTCGGCTGTGTATGTGAATATATTGTATATGTGGTCATTGTACATACCTTAATCAGCACTCGACTCCTGGCGTAGCAAGCCATAGTATAAATGAGGCTGGGCTCTCCAGGATTAGCGTCAAGCACTGCTGTATATCTATCCATAGCATAGCATAAGCTCTTCTGTGCTCGTACTGCTATGCAATCCATGATGACGCGAGGCTAACTTGATGACGATGTTTTCTGAATTCGTGGTCGTTTGGCTTTTGCAGGTTCGACAACGCAGTCCTTCGTAATGACCAGGGAGCGTCGGGCTTCTGTCACATTGGTAAGAAATATGTTGTGCTGGTTTCCTTTTCTATATCTTAACAATTTCGCATGTTTTCTTTTTCTAGACCTTGCCAAGTATTCATATATTGTGTACTTTGGCTGCAGATTGGGAAACCAGTAGTATATTGTGATATTCTTGTAGGATATTGTGATATGCTAGTAGGATATTGCAAAGCTAAGTCAAATCACAAGAGTGACAACACTGCCAGTCTATGCGTGCAGGCAACCCCAGTTTGTCCGCTAACGTGGTATACCGTAGAAGTTATTGTAATGTCTATTAGGGATGTGAACGATAGCAAGCTTGCTCAGTGATTTTTTCTCTCTTCATTGGCCTTCACCGCTGAATTTGCCTGCTGCTGTGCTTCGCTGAATACTCATTCATTCATGGCAGCCTTCATAAAATGAAAAAAAAAGAGACAAAAAAGAGGGAAAGAGAAAGATAAAGTTTGAACACGTAACAGAGAAGTTAACCAAAAAGTGAATATCTAGTTTTGTATCCTGCAATGTGCATGGGGTATGATGACACAGAAAGGTAAGAAGAAAAATAATGACAAAATGCTAAAGCAAAGAAAAAGCAAATGCTCACACACGCAAGGATCCTGCATGGTTGTTTGATGAGGCCGGCTGATTGGAGAAACTTGAAAGTTTTTTCACCGCTTCTCGATTACCAGTTAGAAGGTCATGACCTTTTAGATTGCTCGAAAAGCGGCTGGTCATCAAGTTGAGTTGAGGTTACCAAAAAGAACATCCGTGAATATACATAGTAGTTTTCTCCGTAGTTAAGAGGCCAGGGATAACTATGCCATTTTTTCTGTTGTTCTTGACGTACCTTCAAAAGAATTTTGGCTTACGCTTCAGGTCTATTTTCATCTTTTCGAAGAAATCTTTTGCCAATTTCAGTTTTACCTTGAGGCAGCTTGTTTGTACTTTGAGCTTTGCTTTATTTAGCGATCTCCTGTTTTGAAGAAGTTTTTATTTTTTGGCATTAGCTGCTTTTCTGACCATATTGCGCATCTCAGGGTTTTTGTGCATCTCATGTTTTTGCTTCTTGCTGTACCTCAAAAACCTCCGTGATATGCATCAAAAAGCGGGAAAGAACAAAAACAACTCCTTGAAAACGGAATCGAAGTCATCTATATCGTACATGACAACACTATCAAGTGGTTGTTTACGTGCATGTCTTCTAGAAACGTTTCACTTTGCACCAACAAAGCCGCGGTCACTAATGCCTGGGCATTCATTTGTGCGAATAATAACATTTTGATCATTGCTTAGTAAAAGACACAGGATAGCGTTAAAGCGTGTCGGTTCGTTCACACATTGCTGTAAGCCACAGATGCTCATTAGTTCTGAAAAGGTAGAGAAAATTTGAGTTTTCTCTGGGACTACGCTGTCGGTATCCCATTTCATGCTGGGCAGATTGAAGCCTCCTCCTAGTATTACGCAGTCAGGCATATGCGACAGCATGCTGAAAAGTTCAATTATTGGTTTATTCCTGTGGCTAAGTGGGCGGTAAATTGATTCAAAAACGATATGTTGGTATTCCTGTTGATATTACCAAGTGGCACCATCATAATTCAGTTTTATTATCTAAAACACCTTCACTGGTAAGGGTTCTTGAAATAAAAGAAACACACGTCCACCGTGCCTCTCCTTATATTTATGATGCACTGTGAAGTCAGGTGAAATTGTTCCACATATGATACTGTGTTATCAAACCGTGACTCGGTAGCCATGGCGATTTGTTCTTCCACCGTTTCAAGCAAAACAGTAACTTCATAAATTTGATTCTTGAAGTTCTGACAATTGACCACCTACAACTATGGTGTAAAACTTTTCTTTACGGTACATTGCGCATTCCACAATAAGCCAGAAAGTTTATCACGTCATTCACCACTATATTAATGTGCATGCGTCCGAAGAGGGACCGGTTGGTTCATGTCAGTATCCCAGGCGAGTGCTTGGGGATTGATTATCAGCTTGTCTTCGCTTAAGTGGCCTCGGTTTCTCTTGCCCAGCTGTTTTTCTTTTTTACCTTGCGTCCGAAGCTGCCAGAAGTTCCGTTTAACTGCCTTGCCGGAATCTTCTGACACGCTACACGACATTCTTTAAATTCTAGGCACGTATACATGCGTATACTTGTCCCAGCCACATATACGCATGTAACAATATTTAACCTTAAGATAAGCTGTTTCCGATAATGCTAGAGGTTTGTTTATTGTGCGAAGACGGTGCACATTATAATAATATCATATGGTCAAAACTAGGGCAGCTTTCGACTACGACGCGTCTCTTATTGTGAATGTGGCATGTAAGGACGCTGATAATATATCCTTCAAGTTATAAAAAAATATATTTACTTATTGATGGTACGAAGATATCAAACACTACAACCATACACATTACTTCCTTTTGGTTTTTTCATCTTTGCTTTTACCTGAAGTATTTACAAACGTCAATCACACCAATGCTCACTACAGGGACTACTTTTGACAAACTTTTATCCACAAGGGTTTTTATTTCGCAGTTTATGAGATTGGTCGGCGAGATGAAAAGTGGACAATCCCTACAGGAGCCGAAATTCGCGCGCTGCCTGCTTGCGCATTTTTCAGCATTATGTTCCTAAAAATTTCTTACAGTTTACTGTACCTTGTCAACCTTTCCTGAGAAACGTACGAAATGGAAGCTTTTGTCGTCGCAAGCCTGTAAAGAACCGGAGAAGGAGTGCTTCTGCACCAGGCTCGCTGGCACCTCAGTGGGAGTTCTCTGCTCAAACTTTTACGTCTTCGCAGTCTCGAAATCATAAAATATGCAGCAATTTTTCAGCAGCAGGGACGCTATCGTCCTTCGTATATATAATCGGAGAGGAACTTATCTATATTCTAGCCTTCCTACGAAAATATCATAAAGAAGCCCAGCCAGGTTTTCGCATTTCCTCGATATACCTATACTCCCTGTATACAATCTCTTGACCACAGGGAACCCTTACACTTTCGTTACCACCCTTTTGAAACGTCTCTTTTTCTTGGACATAGTAAAACCTTTTTCTATTTTTGTACAGTTTATTTCCTATTTATGCTTGTTGTGCTCTGTACATGGCATCCATTCCGGGTTTCGTCATCCTTCCAAAGCCGGGAAGCATTAGGCCGATTGGCCATGGATGCTGCGTTTGCTGCTTCAATCCGCTGTATACTGCCTTGCCATAAAGTTCGTTCTCTCAAACACGCGTTTCTTCTGCATTTACTTTTACATTGCGTCTTTCATATCTAGTGCCGTTCCATTCCCCGCCGACTGGGCCCCTTTTACGGCTTTTTAAGCATCATAACGGTCCCGTCACTGTTACTACAGTTTCCGGGTTTCAGAACGCAGGGTTCACTACTCATGTGTTATGCGTGGGACAGTTGAATCTCTTCAGGATCTTGTCTATTTCCATGGAAAGAATACAGTTCGTAAGGGAAAGAAAGTGGATTGCTCTTGCTGAGCAGCGCTGAACATTTTCTGGGCAGAAGAGGAGTCGACAGAAGGTTACTACTACACAATTCGTGTTTTAGTTTTGAAATAAGGGAAACAAAATAATTTATTGGTTTCTAAGGGGACGCTAAGCAAAGAAAAACGAATGTTCAAGAATGAACGGACTGCTTTAAAGTTATCGGCAAGAAATTCGAAGACGGGAGTTGAAACGAGGCAACAGCGCATAGCAGCCATGAATTCAAGCAGCAGCTGACGTAATTGGCGCTGCCTTCGAAATCATGAAGGTTGCTTCTAGAAGTTGTAGCGAAATTTCTAAGCTCTGAGGTGGACCAGATGTCACTTTCTACAGTGTAGTTGGTTTCGAATGCAGTCGTGTAGCTGCAGAGCAGATAGGTATATTGTGTAGTGGGAGTTAACAAGTAAAGCTAACCTCAAAAGCGAATTGTATACGTTTGCTCACCGTAACATTTGATGGCATGCGCCCGAAGCAAGAAATAGCTTGCGGTTAGAAGAAAGTTCGTTGCCTCGTAGACTATTCCGCTATCATGAAGACGTCATTCCTTGACCCGGTTCACAGCAGGTAAATGATAGCAGCAGTTATTGGGGTCCAGAACAATCATCATACGGGAACAGGACACAATGAAAATATAAATTATCCAAAATATACACGAATGCTTTTGTCGAGAGAAGGTGTTAGGCTGCACCGAGCACCACTTCATAACAACACGGGTCGTGGCCCTGTCAACCACCAAATTTATCGACAAGCGTAGTGACCACTAGAACGGTCAAACTCTTGGACCAAGGTCAAACGCTTGGACTGTGTGAACCTCGCCACATCAGGATCTAAGTGATTCTAATTGTGTCGTGTAAACATTTTGACAGGTCTCGGATCTTGGATTGTACGTCCTTGTCGCTCATTACATTACACGAGTGAAATTTTTTCGGCCTGTCTGAACGGCAGAATGCCGCTAGCAGTTATACAAATCTCTTAGCGAATACGAAAAAGAACCTCTTTTCTATTCCTTTTATAGTTTCAATATCCTTGGCACACATCTGAACTGGCGCCATGTTCTAGGGAAACAACGTTTCGAAGCAGCGTCGCGGTAGAGAAACTCATTTACATCGTGTGTGGTCCCCCTCGTGTTTTACATCGTGTGCGGTCCTCAAATTGCTATCGGTGGTACTAGTACCCACAACGCACTGACAATAAACCTTATAAACCAGTCTACAATGACTTTAACTGCCGAAGAGAAGAATAAAATTGACCCTGACTAACACGCACGGTTGCAATACGCTTACGAAAAAGAACGGACCGAAGTTCGTCCCAATACTGTGGAGGTAAGCTGACTACATGAATACAAATAAAACAATTTACTGACCACAATAAAACCAAGTTAATGCAAGTCGTTCCCGTCTCTACGCGGCGCCCGTAACGTTTGCTCTTATTTGCTGTTAATTGTGGTCAGAGTCGTATTCTAATTGCATGTCCGCTTATGACTATGCGGGATTCCGTCCAACTATCAATTTCAAGCCAAAGACAGCTTAAAATAAAAGAGCATGTTGCCTCGATAGTTCAGATAGTAGAGTACCTGTGCGTGTGAAGCTGCGGAGGGTCCTGGAAGGTTCAACGCAGCAGTTGCGAACGTCTTGCACCGTGGAAGCGATCTCACTTTCAGTTACACCTTAAAGCCATCGCTCACAAGTTTTCATCTGTCCGTTTTTTGTTTGTTACGTGCATGCCTTTTTCTCTTGAGATGGTGGAAGTGTATAAACGAAAGGGATGATGCCTTCACAAAACACGACATTTTCCAGATTGAGTTTTGTTGTCAGTAAAACGTTCGCGCACCGCTCACGTTCCCGGCTTCGAGGTGACTCTTTCTAGCGAGTTCGCGAGATGTACGGAGCTTTGCGAGAAACACCATCGTGTACCCTTTTCGTATTGCCCTTCGTATTGCCCTCTCGTATTGCTTTGCTTTCATTTCGCTCTACTTTATCCGTTCTAGAAAGAGTGTCTTTTATTCGGGGCGCTGCGGCCTGTCCATTTACCGTATTTTCTGTTTTTTTATGTGGACTGCGTAACCGGCACAGAATGAGAAAAAGTTGTTCTATGACGTGATAAAAACAGTGCTCGCGAACATTATCAACGTCAACAGTGCTCTTGAAGGTATTGTTATACTGATAAAGAAGTCACAGCTTTGCCTCAAAAGAGAAGCAATGAACGCGATAGCAACAAATTGGAAGGTCACGCGCAGAATGGCAAGCAGATCGAAACGTGCTTTGCGTTCCTCACGCACAAATGACGTACGAAACGTATTCACAAGTACAGATGAACGAAAATAACCGTCCCAGTTGCTACTTCGTTCTGTCTGAAAAGCACGCCTTATTTCGCAAACGGAGACTGTGTAACAATTTCAGTGACCTTTGCGAGCCCCGTAACTGCAACAGATTCGTCCCGGTGAAAGCCCAAGGCCAGCTAAGACGTACGATCCTCCCCACCGCGAGATAATGGCGCGCGCGTTAGCGCCCACCCTGCATCATCTCCGCGGGGCAAAGTACGCACGGGAGATGAGAGCGCACGTCGTGACGATGTGGCGACGCGCGCTCATTGCGCAATCTTGCTGGTAATTCTGAAAACACGATAGTTCCCCCTGAGATGCCCGTCACCAGCGGTAAGCGGTAAATATAAATAGCTTGCTGTTTGAATGTTGGAGGAGGTGCTCTTTCGTGGCTCAGTGGTTAACGCCTCGCACTCACAATTCAGAGGTGCCACGTTCGGTTCCACGCTCCGGTGTTTTTTCTGAATTGTTTTTCTTGCTTGCGTTTTTATGCATATAGTTACGTATACACGTACGGTGAATGACGGCGACACCGATGCTAACGCCTGCGGCAAAGTCCAGTTGAAAGTGTCCATATAAATAAATGATCACAGTGAAATGACTATCGACCCACAGAGCCCAGATTGCGGCATGTCTGTCTGTCTGTTCTGTCTGCTACTCTGTTTGGAGAATCCTGACTTGAAATATATACTGGGCATTTAAGAAATTTGTCCAAAGATCTACAAAGATACGGGAAATAAAATGTTTGTCAACAGCGTCCCGAACAAGCTGTTCTGTGGCAACAGAAATGTGAATATTTTTGGAGCGTTAAAATATATGAGCAGCCATTTTAATAATAATAATAATAATAATAATAATAATAATAATAATAATAATAATAATAATAATAATAATAATAATAATAATAATAATAATAATAATAATAATAATAAATTAATTAATTCGTCACTAGGGAAGTAGTTATAGAAATAATCAGTCAAGGTGTTACTTCGTTTGAACGAGGAGTGTGGACCAAGGTATTAATTCGAGTCCTTTTAGAAAGAGCCCTTGGTACTTCAAGATTTCGAAAAAACGTGACCTGTAATTCGTATTAATGAAATTTCACCAACTACGCAGTTATTGTTTGGCAATGCGCCTTGGTCAATTAGTAATTACTGTGTTTCTAAGTCGATGAATAGGTGCTCACCTAATCGTTAAAGTGTCAATGAGACATGTGAAGGTATGCTCAATTGTCATCTAATTGCGCTATTTTTAGCAACGTACTATTGACATGCACATTTTGTTCCGGCTGATAAAGAAAGCACGCAAAATATGAAAAGTAGCACATGAATACGCTCGCACCCGCAAAAGGTGGGAGCATATAGCCCTGACTTTCTACCTCACCATAATCCTGTCTGAGGGCCCTGCTTCCTTGTGAGTATAGTCACCTGTCGTTTTTCAGGATACGTGGGCTGTTTTCATCAACCCCCATTTCGCCCCTCTCCCATCCCCCCCCCCTAAAAAACGAGCACGGGTTCGGTACATAGTGGCAAACAGCCCAGTTAGATGTGATTTGAAGATGTCAACGTTTGCCTCATTGACATTTTCATGAATTGGGGAACATTTGTAAAGTTAGAAATATAATGAGCACTAATTATTAAGTCACACTAGTCAAAAAAATTACAGGTACCTACAGAGTACAGCCTGCACTTGGTGTGTTCCACGTAACAACGTTCGTCTTCTTTTAAATTATAAGCTACGTGATATCTGGAACACCCCGTATAAGTCAATAAATGAGGACAGCCCTAAACAGAGCAACAGGCATTTTGTTTTTCTACTTTGTCACTTTCATCTCAGTCACCCGCATTCCCGTCACCGTGTACATCATATTCGACGGTTTCTCTGCTTTCACACAGATACTATCCACCTGCCTGCTGCCCTGGGGTTGCCTCAGTGTATTCGGTTCCCGCACCGAACGGGTGTTCGCCCAGCTGAAGGCGTTGCGCGAGTGCGAGCAGCGGGCATTTTTCGAGGCCGGAGACAATGACACTGGTGAATGACTCATTGCTACTTGGTAGCGTCACGCTGGTCTGATTAGACCACTAATCGCTAATTAAACGACAGGTGGGGTGATTTTCAGAGTTTGGTGCGAGGAATTGACAGTGGCGACGATAGTATACCCAGTTAAAGCACGCTACATATCTCATGTCTCACTGTGCGATTTAAGCGGGTTTGAGCTTAAGAATAAGCACACATGAGCATGTGTAATGCAAGACAATAAAAACGAACCCCCAGTTTAGCAAGGTGTGGTTGAACGAAGCTAAGCCCAAGTCCTACTCTACAAAAAGGAGCCTCTACATATTAAAGTGTTCAATTCATGTAACCTTAAAATGCACGCGACACCTAGTAGCCCCGGTCTGAGAAGAAAAAAAAATATGGTTAAAAAGTTTATATTGCAACAGTGTTTCAATATTTTTAGAAATACTCGGAGAGAGTAGACATGCTGAAGCCTGCTTTTTTGTTTCTTTACTGCGTACAAAAATACTTTCATTTTCGCTCCAGTATACGTACAACTTTCTTTTGAAGTTATCTGGTAAGAAATCGCCACTCAAGTTTGATTAAACTTTTTCTTTGTCCCGTATGCAGCTGGATGTGACTGGAGGTTTGACGGATGGCAGTGTTGGCCACCAACGCCGCGTGGAATGACGGCTAAGGCACCATGTCCGACACTACTGCCTGGCAACGTTAACGCCTCGGGTAATAAGCGCGATCACGTAAACTCGATGTGACATTATCAGCTCGAAATGGAGTGAACGAGAAATGTTGCAGTGCAGCCGAGCCTGTTGACAGTTTGTCCATTCATTTTCGTCTTTTACGCCTTTGCTTTCTGTAACGTGAACGCTAAGCACGAATCTAAGCTTGGCTTGCTGAATTCACTGGTCTTATTTGTGGAAAAAACACACGCGCCACGTGGCAGGCTGCACAAACACGCCGTGAAAACCGGCGTCATGCACTTCCATGCCCGAAGGTAATGAATGGCAAGCTATCCTTGAGGCACGCCAGAGACCACGTCACTGACCATTTATCTCACGTGAACTGAGTACATTTAATAACTTTTGTCTGCGCTCAGTGCCGTCGATCCGATACGCGGTGATTAGCGGTGAGAACGAGGGTATTACGTCCTTGCTGGGGTGACGAACCACGCAAATGTGCGCATATGTGTCCCATTTTATCTTAGGTGTCCTGTGCAGTTTGATGCAAGTGCGATTATGTGATAATAGCACAGTTACCCAGTTGGTGTATACTAATTAGCGCTTGCTACTTAACCGTTCTTTGTCAATGTAAAAAGTAAAAGCACCCCATTAAATTCAAGCGATCAGTTTAAGTCATCACGGGAGTTTTTTATGGCGTAACTTCAATATTAACATTTTTATTCGCTACTGTACTGGTTTGAGAACGGGTTAGAGCCCATAGTTTATTAGGATTAGCCATGTACCTTTTTGATAGAAGCTTCATTTGCTCTATTCAAATGAAAACGGTAACGCAATACCTGTCGAAACAGCAGTATATAGGCGTGTTCGGGGCATTACTTGCTTATCTTTATACTAGATATACGCTTCCTAAGAATTTTTTCTTCTCTATCGGGTTGTGCATGCAGCTACCGCTACGTACCACTGTCTCATGAGGGGCTCCTGGCAAGATGAAATGGGGAACTATGACGCCTGCACAGTATCGCCATACTTTGTGAGTATTCATTTGTGTGCACTGGCTAACTTGTTATGCCTCAAGCGACTCACAGCTTCGAAAGTGTTCTGAAATATGATATTAATTTACGTGTAACCTCCTGAGAGTTCCACAATATGTTGCCCACCTTAACGTGGCACGAAGTAGGGCTTAAATACAGGAAAAATCACTATTCCACTTTTTAAGGCACACTGACATACAGCAAACGTTCCACCTTCGTTGTGTTGCCACCCATCAGCCCCATGTGAGTGTAGTCTATGTAATACTGCATTACTGTAGACAGAATGCACATCTCGTGTTTCATACTCATATGACACGTCAGGCACATGACTACGGAATACGTCTCAAGCGTCTACTAAACAACGTCTATTTCTGTTTCGCTTACAACAAACGTACTGGCGTTAAGTCAGTACAAAATATCAAGATTCAATGAACATATATTGTGTTTTTTGGTTATTCGTCGAAATATACATTTATAACGGCACATTTACAAAGGTACCCACGTATTAAAACCGCATGTCTAATTTAGTGGCCATTATTCTAGGGTATTTGAAGCATGGTGTCTTTCCAGGACCCCGAACTGAAGCTTCTCCTTGACATCGCTGAAGAAATCGGAGAGTACGTTCCTTGGGAACAGAGTTCTCCGAGGGGAGAGAACTGGATGTGGCAAGAAAAGATCGACCACTTCAAGCATTGCCTAGAGCACGTACTGCTCAAGCCATTTCCTGAGCTCGGTGAGCACTGTTAGAGGTCGCTTTACGAGTTAGCCTTTCACACCTGTGGTGCACTGCTCTCTTTTTGTATATGACCTCTTTTGTTGTAAACAGCAGGTGTGAGGAACACTCTACAGTTCTTATCCTGAACCTATGCACGAAATGGTGAACATTTTTATTTATCGCGTCGGTTAAGTAAGCACTTTGTTGCTGTAAGCACTCTCAGTTGCTGCGGCGTGAAACCTGGACGAGCGTTAAATAAGGTGGAGGTGATGCGCACTCGCAGAGACCACCAAAGCAATGGCAACTCGAATGCCACTATGGAATATAACATTGCGCTGGGCTACGCATTCCTGCGGTATAGCTTATACCGAGCGCGACAGTATGGTGAGAGCTTTGAACCGGCCGTTAGTGTTTATGCCCCAGACAACTGCGTGTTTGAAGCTGTTTTGCGAAAAGGTGAAGACTGTCTGGGTAGCAACAGCAATGGCTGTCTTGACGAAGTGTCGAAGTGTGAAGTTCATTGACATTCTCTTTCGACGGCTTTTTGTTTCCTGTATTGTCTCTTTGACTGATATGGTGGATTTAAGATTTTAATAACTCACGCCAAGGTTCTTTTCTCGTTTCAAGCGAACAGTAACATACGCGCATGATTGGAATGATGCGTTAATATTGCAAACAAGTTCCGAAATCGTATATGAATACTGGCCCCGCCGCTGTGGTCTAGTGGCTAAGGTACTCGGCTGCTGACCCGCCGGTCGCGGGCTCGAATCCCGGCTGCGGCGGCTGCATTTCCGATGAAGGTGGAAATGTTGTAGGCCCCTGTGCTCAGATTTGGGTGCACGTTAAAGAATTCCTGGTGGTCAAAATTTCCGGAGCCCTCCACTACGGCGTCTCTTATTATCATATGGTGGTTTTGGGACGTTAAACCTCATATATCAATGAATCAACCAATATATGAATACTGCATAACTTTGAACGATGCCTTCATTGATTTCCTTCGCAGGAGCGAACGAATCCCTATGCCCACGAACATGGGATGGCTGGAACTGCTGGGATGACACCCCGCCTGGACAGACTGTGTTCGCACCATGCCCCCAATTTGTGGCCGGATTTCTGTCTTCTAGTGAGTGAATTTTTCAGGCTGACCACTTTGGCCAGAAATGCGCTCCCGAGGAGTGTGCTCGTGCTGCATTAGGAACGATCTAGCAAAAAATCCGAAAGGGTATCTAGTTTGGGTAGCTTCAAGTGCACGGTAAACAGGAAGAGAAGAAGGTTCATAGTATTGCCCATAAAATCGAACTTCAATTAAATTAGTTAAATTTGATATTTTCATATAAGTCAGCGAAGAATATCGAATTTCACGAATTCAGTGCATAGAACACTCAGGAGAACCATGTTTCGTAAAACAGTGCTAAGGGCTGTTTCTTGACCACATCGGAACTTCATACTGCAAAGTAGAAAGGGGTGCTATGCGAAGTGAAAACGTAGAAAATTCGCATATCTGTGCACTATTCTAAATTAGTATTTGTGCTGCTGCGTTTCAATAAGTTTGTTTTAGTAAAGCTGCGGTACTCTTCGCGAACAGCGACTAATCAATATGTCTCGGTGATATTAGTTTTTTTTCCCCTCTTGTGCGATTGAGTGCTATCTGGTACTGACAGTAATCACTTGGGGTTACTTTATGCTACAGCCTTGAGCTCACCATCGTATATTTATTTTTTTCCCACAGGACAAGCGCACAAATTATGCACGTCAAACGGGACGTGGTTCCGGCATCCCGTTACTGGTCATGTGTGGTCCAACTACACTGCATGTGTAGACACTCACGACCTTCAGGTAAGTGTATACAGGCTTGTCCGTAACATCCATTTCATAACAACACGAAGGCTTCTTTTCTTCATTCAGACACGTACTTCTTCTAAACTTGTATCCATTGAAATAACTTAGCAACATTAAAAGACCTTGTGTTTACATCGTGTGAGGTGTAAAGATTGATTTGGGCTGTGTGGTCTATGCTAACTGTTTTAACATAGTGATGGTTTCGCTCTCTTTTTTTATGACAGTTTGTTCAAAAATATCTCCCAGCGTACCTTGTTCCTCGTTTCTGTTTCCTTTGTGAGCTTTACCACTGATTATGTAAACGTCTATATGTGTTTCTTTTCAAAAGTTGCGTTTTAAATTTCATTACTCGAGTCAGCTGACGTCATCATCTCTTTCAAGCCTTATTACTTCAGGAAGGTGAGCGTTACGTGAATAATTCTGGCCGAAGGAATTTATTCGCACGCTTGAAAAAAGAATAATGCTGAGTGCTCACGGTGAAGCTGTTTTGCAGCAAATCACTTAGGCTGCTGATCGATAAGTTGACTCGCCAGAATTAACCTGGGATATTGTTGCGGCAACGACGATCTCCACCGCGTAGAGATTCTTGTAAGTGCACGGGCTTTTCATTGAGCAGCTTTCTCTGCGGAACTAGCAAATAAAAGAGTATGACAAGTAGTCATCAGCAAAATGCAGTGCATTAATATTCACCAAAATAAAAAAAACGTTTTAGATCAGATTGTATACGTACGCATGACAGCAGAGTGACTTGTTCGGCGAGTTTGTTCATTCTTAACGTAACCCATGGCGCGAAAAAAAATACGAGAGAAGGACAAGCGCAAAACATCAACATAATTCATTAAATTACATGTCACGTTACAATCACGTTAATCACGTTACACGCCACCGAGATAGATTACTTGAGTGCTTGCCATTAAAAGGACTTATTTTCTGCTAGTATGACTTGAGACTTTGTTGACCTGTATATATATGTGTGTGCTTCTTCGAATAAATTTAGTTGATAGTTGCGCTTGTCCTTCTCTCGTGTTTTGTTTTCGCGCCGTAAGCTACGTTATGTATGACAATCGTTGGCAGGTATAGTCACCCAAATCTTTACGTATACTATGCGAGTGGCGAAGTTTTCAGTGTATCTTTGCAATAACTGAATCCCTCCAAGAAGGGTGAAGAAGGGCATACCCACGAAGCACACTTTATAGAAAGAATTTTCCGGAACTGAGTTTTATCATATAAGGCTGACACACAGAAAAGTCACCCCTGCGCCTAATGTGTAAAGATTTGGGTGTCTCTGCAATTTAACTTGCAATATAACAAAGAAGTTACGAATGTAAGATTCTTCATGTGCATATTTTCGTGTCGCAAACAAAGTAGCATTGGAAATACTGGTTCTTCCAGGTTTGATGAAGACAAAAAAATCGTGAACTTATTGAAAAAAAAAGAACCTTTACTGGAGATGAGTACCGCTTTATAAGTTCGATGCCACATGTAGCATACTGTGGCATAGTGAACAGAAAAAAATGAAGTTTATTGAGCGAGAGTCTAATCTCGTGTAGGGTGGAGCAACGTACCACGGTCACGACGGGTCACATATGCTTTAATTCTTTTGAGAACTTAGCGCCTTGTTCAGACGCTGAGATTTCAAGGTGTTGTTACCGCTGGTGTTTTGCGTACACGAAGTTCTAGCTATGAGTCATAACTCACAAGAGAGTGCGCTTTGCGATGTGCTCATTGATATCCTTAGTTAGTCTTAAATCAAAGAAATGAAAGAAATGAAGAGAAATAAAGGCACTCTTTTCGTCAACTCATCAAAAACGCATTTGCTGCTTATTTGACCTTAGATACACCGGTATGTATAGAACTGGCAGAGCTTTCGAAGTTGATTAATAGGCGTAAGGCATGCGATGTAAGAAGGTATTACATGGAGAGAATTTAACACGCTCTGAAAAGCGGAGGAAGCGTCAACGCAGTGAAGAAGAAAATCGCGATAGGCAGAAATCGGATGTTTGCACTAAGGGACAAAGAAGGCAAAATAACTACCAATATAGATAGGATAGATAAAATAGTGGAGGAGTTTTACAGAGATCTGTACGGTAGCCGGGACACCCACGACCTTAATACTATAAGAACTGGCAGTAACCCAGATGACACCCCACCAGTAATGATAGAAAAAGTCAGAAAAGCTTTGGAAAGCATGCAAAGAGGTAAAGCTGCTGGTGAGGATCAGGTAACATCGGATCTGCTGAAAGATTGAGGAGAGATTGTGTTAGAAAAACTAGCCACCTTGTTTACGAGGTGTCTCCTCACGGGAAGAGTACCAGAGTCTTGGAAGAACGCTAACATCAACCTAATACTTAAGGAAGGAAATGACAAGGACTTGAAGAATTACAGGCTGATCAGCTTGCTCTCCGTAGTATACAAGCTATTCACAAAGGTAATTGCTAACAGAGTAAAGAAAACATTAGAATTCTATCAGCCAAAGGAACAAGCGGGATTTCGAACAGGCTACTCAACAATCGACCACATTCATACTATCAATCAGGTAATAGAGAAATGCTCAGAATATAACCAACCACTATACATAGCCTTCATAGATTACGAGAAGCCGTTTAATTCACCATAAATATCAGCCGTCATGCAGACACTGTGGAATCAGGGCGTCTATGAAGTATATTTAAACATCCTGGAAGAAATTCTGGAAGTACCTCAGTAACCTGCGCTTTGCCGATGACATTGCATCGCTGAGTAACTCAGGTGACGAATTGCAACTCGTGATTACGTAATTAGACAAGGAGAATAGAAAGATGAGTCTTTAAATTGATCTGCAGAAAACGAAAGTAATGTACAGAAACCTTGGAGGAGAACAGCGCTTCGAGATAGGTAATAGTGCACTTCAAGTTGTAAAAGACTATGTCTACATAGGGCAGGTAATACCCGCGGAGCCGAACCACGAGATTGAAGTAACTAGAAGAATAAGAATGGGGTGGGGCACATTTGGCAAGCACTCTCAAATTATGACAGGTAGATTGCCACTATCCCTCAAGAGGAAGGTATATAACAGCTGTATCTTGCTGGTACCTAGCTATGGAGCAGAAACCTGGAGACTTACAAAGAGGGTTCAGCTTAAATTGAGGATGACGCAGCGAGCAATCGAGAGAAAAATGGTAGGTGTAACCTTAAGAGACAGCAGAGTGACTTGTTGGGCGAATTGGTTGATTATTAACGTAGCTTATGGCGCGAAAAAAAAACACGAGAGAAGGACAAGCGCGAACTATCGACTATAATTATTTAGTCACATGCCACGTTACAATCACGTAACATGCCACCTAGATAAATTACTTAAGTGCTTGCCACTCAAAGGACTTATTTTCTCTGCTAATATGACTTGTGACTTTGTTGCCCTGTATATATATATATATATATATATATATATATATATATATATGTGTGTGTGTGTGTGTGCGTGTGTGCGTGTGTGTGTATGCGCGCTTTTTCGAATAAATTTAGTTGATAGTTTGCGCTTGTCCTTCTCTCCTGTTTGTTTCGCGTGAGAGGCTACGTTAAGCTATGTATGACAATCGTTTCCAGGTGTAGTCGCCCAAATCTTTACACATATTGTGCGAGTGGCGATGTTTTCAGTGTATCTTTGCCATAACTGAACTACTCTAAAAATGGTGAGGGCAAGGGCGTACCTGGTGGTTTTGGGACGTAAAACATCACAATCAATCAATCAATCAATCAATCAATCAATTAATCAGCAAGGGCTTACCCACGAAGCACACGTCCTAAATACAATTTTTTGAAACTCAGTTTTATCATATAAAGCTGACACACATAAACGTCGCCGCTGCGCATAGTAGTTAAAGATTTGGGCATCCCTACCATTTAACTTGCGCCATAGCAAAGGAGTTACGAATGTAAGACCCTTCATGTGCATATTTTCGTATCACATACAAAGTAGCATGGGAAAAACTGGTTCTTCCAGGTGTGATGAAGACAAAAGTGATAGTGAACTTGTTGAAAAAAAGAAAAACATCTACTGGAGATGACCACCGCTTTATAAGTTCGATGCCACATGTGGCATACTGTGGCATAGTGAACAAAACAAAATGAAATTCATTGAGCGAGAGTCTAATCTCGTGTAGGGTAGAAGGGTAGAGCAACGTACCACGGTCATGACGGGTCACATATGCTTTAAATCATTTGAGAACTTAGCGCCTTGTTTGGACGCTGAGAACTCAAGGTTTTGTTACCCGTGATGTTTTGCGTACACTAAGCTCTAGCTGAGAGTCATAACTCACAAGAGAGTGCGCTTCGCAATGTCGTCTTTGATTTCCTTAGTTAGTCCTAAATGAAAAAAAAGAAAAAGAAGTTAAGGCAATCTTTTCGTCAATTCATCAAAAAGGCATTTGCTGCTTATTTGACCTTAGATACACCGGTCTGGGTAGTATTGATTCGATTAACTGTACCTATTGTTATTCACACTTTTTTTCTTTTCTTTTGCAGTTCCGAAACTTGGTGAATTCACTCTACGTCACAGGTTACTCCATATCACTGGTTGCCCTACTCTTGTCACTATTCATATTTTGTTACTTTAGGTGAGTTATTTTTTTACAGCTTTTCAATGCTCGTACTAGCTCGCAAAACATGGATTAAGAATGGCCCATAGAAATTTAGGCCTCTAGAAAATTTGTTCCTCAATTTCAAAAACACACATACCCACCTCCCCTCCCCTACAATATCAAGCCATATATGTTATTTCAATGTTTTCACATGTTTTCTCACGGAAATTATTTAGAGACCATTTATTTGTCATATATTTTCATTTAAATCTCACGGAAACATGAAATTTTGGGACTGTCACACCAAAATTTTTAGTATATAGGGTTGCCAGTGGCCAATATATGAAGTAATAACGATTGTGTCCTAGTGATACCAGGCATCGCTTCCTATGCTATTGACCGGGAAAGCGTATGCAACTACGGACCGTTCTTCTTCTTTCCTGATGCTGTGGCCTAAAAAGAGGCCCCGTCTTCTTTGATTGTAGTGTAGGAAATCAAGGGAATAGGAGAATGAAGCTAGTGCGTTTGTGCGAGGTGCGGAGGCCGGAACTTCTATGTTTCTGGTCTACACGTACCAAGATATTAGAACACATGACCGTTTTATGCAGGAAAGAGTGCCTAGCAGAGAATGATGTACTGCCTTGTTGGATCGGAATGCCATGTAGATCATGCTGGTGCTACAGGGAACTTCACCGGTAGCCGAATTATGTTATCGCAGTCAAACTAGGGTGAAATCGTAAGGTCCCGTTTTTTCGTGGTGATATGTTCTGGGCTTTGATGTTCTTGCTGCTTGGCAACACGTCATGTGCGCTCACCGGATGCTACCTGAAAACAGATGTCTAGGTTTTGTGGCCGCTGCGTGTAAAACAACTCGCAAATAAGAATCACGAAGCTAAAGTTTCCAGCAATAAGTCATCGTTTACTTTAGAGCATGAATTCAATGCAAACAAAAAAAAAAACACTGCAAGGATGACAGACATTCTTTTTCAGGTACTGAACACGCGTAAAGCTAATTTTTATATGAGTTTGCCGTGCAGCTAAACACTGTCTTGTAACGTTTCTGTTCAGTTTGAGAGTGGAAAACAGGTAACAAGATGAGAGAAAGGTGAAGAGGTCAGTAAGAAATATAAAGTATAGTTGGGGGTCCTATACTAAATAAAGGGGAACGAAAAACAGGGTGAAAAAAAAAGCAGCAGCGCAAAAAAACTACAAGTGCAGAGTGAGAGTACTATAGACTAAACAATAATCCAATGCTACCCAAAAAGCGCAGTAAGGACTTGATTGATATTCATTGTGACTACAGTTAACATCGGTATTCTTAGCTCAGACTTTTTCGCTATAGTGGTCTGTCGCTAAGGCGGGTCAAAAGAACTGCTAGGGGTTGTATGTCTACTTCTGTAAATAGTACCACAAGCATTAGAAGTTCACGCAATACAATTTTCTGTCATTGTTTAATCATCTTACCCCCTTCCCCAGCACCAGGGTAGCCAGCTGGTATGAGAACTGGCTATCCTCCCTGTCCTTCCTCTTCCTCCTTTTCAAGCCTTACTATTATTTTTTTTCAGGTCTCTTCGCTGTAGGAGGATCACTATTCACAAGAATTTGTTCACTTCGTTCATCATCAATAATCTATGTTGGATACTGTGGTACATACACGTCATTGCACAGCCTCATGTGATAGAAGAAAGCCCGGTAGGTCAATAATAGCGTTACTCGCATTTCTATAATAAGTCTATCAGAAGAAAACATCGATAAAAGGTGTTTATTGTGATTTACTTTATCGTTGTTCCTCTTCAACATCAGAGCTGGTGCCAGGCCCTGCACGTCGTGACCCAGTACTTCCTCTTGTGCAATTACCTCTGGATGTTCTGCGAGGGTCTCTACTTGCACACGCTACTCGTGATGGCTTTCATTGCCGAAGATAAAATTCTCAAGTGGTTTCTGCTCATTGGATGGGGTAAGTGTTACGCTCACTGCATGTTGCATCTCTAAGTTTCTTGCGGAAGGCTGGGGCCCATAAACGTTAGGTTTATAGGTGATTTCGCAGAAGCCGCATTTGAAAATAAACCTACGTCCGATACAGAAGCATCATCGAAAAATCTCGAAACCATGTGTCCCAGTGTATGTCTCGTCATTCTATCTCCCTGCTACTGCGTGCTCTGATGCAAGAACAATTATTCCCCTGTATAGAATTTAGAACCGGACTATGTCTTCATCTATCTCTTTCTGTTGCCCTTGTGGAAGTCTCTGTTAACACTAAGTTCTTTCGATGATCAGCAGTGGTGTTAAAATTATCCTTCTGTGTCGCTGGTGTATTTACTGTTAGATATTTGAAAAACGTTGTGTGTCCCTAGAGTAATCATCGTCAAAACGTGCCACTGTGTGTTTTTTCTGTCCAGGTTTTCCGCTGCTTCCAACGATAGGCTACGCTGTAATGCGTGGCCTAGATCCAGAGGCGTCAAGAATGTAAGTATTCTCAGGTCATGTTGCTTAGTCTTTTATGCTAATCCTATAGCTCCGCATATAACAGACAGATGTTCGCTCATAAACAAATATTCGGCATGCCATGGTATTGCGCTGTAAGTGTGTTCACGATGGATCCTAACCAACTGGCCCAACTTACCGTCTTACTATGTCATGAGGAACATAGAGTTTGCGCCTCAAGAGGGAAACTGTTTTGTGCTAGCTCGTCAAAAGCGTTGGTGATGAAAAACTATACTCTAATAAGTTCAATAAAAAAGAGAAAATTAAGCTCACCTGTACACGTTCATGTTCCATTGCGTATTGTGTAACAACCGACGGCTCAGAATACAATTTACGGTTGGTTCTCAACAAGCAGAACATTAGTCAAACGATGGCTATTATATTGTAAATAAGAGTTCCACAAGATAACATTAAGAGGCAGAACCTCAGAAAAACCTGGTGAGCTGCTTTTTTGTTACCTTCAGAATTTCTTCTCAACCAGCTGTGGCTGAGCCATTATGAGCCCTGAATAATTTTATTCCACTATTTTTACAGGTGCTGGGTCGAGCACGACGTGTGGTACACTTATATTCTGAGCGTTCCTGTCTGTTTCTCGATACTGGTAGGTGTACTTATCTCTGGTGTGTTCTTGTGATCACTTATATATTCATACTATTTAGTACACGTTATTAGTCTTCCTAACTTCATTTTCTCTATAATACATTATGGCTATCTACTGAAAGAAACTAACTTAGGGAAAAAAAAAACAACCACAAGTCTCTAAAGCACTACCTTTTTTTTATACGAGTGTTTGATTCCTGCACTAAACGCGCACAGCTTGTTGTATGTACATGTATTTCATGTAATTAGGCTCAATTAAGTTTAGTAACAATTTATGTTTTTTTACCATAGACATGCGGTAACTAGTTTAGTGTCTTGGGTGTATACCCTATAGCTGTACGTCGGGTAGCATTGGGTGCCTTCATAATTGAAGCGCTGGACGTAAGGAGATTTGTGATAAAATTGTGAGAGCACCAAGGTGGTAATCTGGGCACGTTGGTAGTCCATGCATGTTTGCGAACTGTAAGAGCGCACTGAGGACGAACACAGAATGAAGGCTCTTACATGTACACTGGCAGGTCAACTTTCAGCAGTTTATTTAGTGATCTCAGCCCTCCTTTTATAGCCGAACATTAGCACATCTACTGCCCAAAAGTAACAAGAACATCACTAGACATTATTATAAGCATGAAGAAAAATTTTTTGGGAACGTTAGATGGCATGGTAGTACACTTGCCTATACGTGTCACCCATGTTTTAAATCTCTCATTTCCTGTAATTTCGCGCGCATGCTGATTTCTAGTTCTTTCCACAATTCTGCACGTGTCAAAAAAAAAAAAGAATGGCATGCACACGTCTTACAATGCATTGCAGAGAAACCACCCGATGAGCTATTCTCGCGATGAACGTGGACATGTTCCATAAGGACTCCACTGATTGGCTGGAGCTGGCAAGCTGCGCGCCGCCTGTTTCCGGTCTTTCGGCCGCAACGCTATTTTGACGGCAAGCAGGTTTCATCATAGAGTTTTCTAAAGTTAACAATAGGGGACTCTGTCGCTGCGATTGTTCAGTGACCATGGGAATGTTGGGTAGTACGCACATTTGCCTAGTCTTCGTACTTGCGGGCGGCCAATTGTACTTGCGGCTTCGTTTATTGCCGTGTTTCAGTTTTGTTTTGAAAGAAAGATTCAACCCTTTTGAACTTCGTGACCTCATTTGGAAAGGTAAGTCTGAAAGAATAAGGTGGTGAAGCGCCACCGCTGAACATTTGCTGATTTTTGTTTCGTGAGAAAACAGCTCCAAGCCACACGAACACATACAGAGCCAAAAACAGGCCAGAAGTACAAAAATTAAACAAATGTGTGTACAGCCCATCATTCTCATGCTCGCTGAAGCACCGTGCGTTGCAGCTCCCATAGACACAAGCACCAGAGCTCCCTCTAGTGTATATTAGGAAACTCTATGGGTTTAACAACTCTTGACACAAGTGAGAAAGACGGAATGAGTTTCATCGCAACGAATTCTGTCTTCAGGAATCAGCTTTTTGATGCAATTCTGGCAGGCTGTGCATAAACTCTAATAACGTTGGCCCTTGAATTAGGTTTAACGCGACCGCCCGCCTGACGCTTCGGAATGGTTGGTACGCATTCTTTGCTTCGCTCTTCAATCATTTTAACACGTTCGTACGCGCGTTCAGACTTGTCCACTTTGCTTAGGTGTCCTGTTACTTTACATTTCATCCACTTAGTTTCTTTTTACGCTGGGAATGTGCTGGCGGGCTCGTCGCGTCGACGTGATAAACAGAGCCACGAGGTCATAAATCGTCATATTTTGGCCTAACTGAACTCGCTCCACTGAATTTAAAATGCCCACAAATTGTACACCGTGGTAATCGCGTCCTTGTAATTTTCAGAACTGTGGGAAGTAATAGAAATCCTCTTGCACACAACATTGTAGAAGCAGGGGAGATTGAACAGATGAGTGACAAGTGTATTAACATGCCTTCTGTCACGCTGAGAAAAAAAAATAATTTGCTCGGTACTTTTGCGCAGCAGATGGGCTCATGTGATGCCATAAAGGAGTGATGGGATAAAAAAAAATCTGTTGGAAGTGTCGCTAAGTAGAATCAGTGTACCTTAATTGCCTGTTCATAATTAATGGACTTCTACTTTTCGTAAACAGCGACAGCAGCACGGTGGAACGCATTAATGAGAAGCCACAGGTACACGCTTGGAGATTATGTCCTGTCAGTCGCCATACGTAAATCTTTCAAAGCATATTCAGCTGATATTACATTAAACGAGGAATATACCCCAACTTAACAGAAAACGGTCAAGTAATAATAAAAGAAGCTAACGAGGGCAATCTAATTTATGATTGTTTCAACTGTAGCCTGCTACACAACGTTTTCATGTTATATCTTTCTCGTTTTTTGCAGCTTAGCTTCGCATTTCTCGTCAACATCGTAAGGGTACTGGTGACGAAGCTTCGGGCTGTCAATTCCCCTGACAACGAGAGCACAAGGTAAGATTAAAAGTCACTATTGATGATTTTTGTGCTATGAAGTTTCTCCTAACGGTCGTGTCATACATGGACTAATTTTTACGTTGTCACTTTAACAGACGAGAATATATACTAGCAGTGCATATAATGCTTCAACAGCACATGACGAAAGGCGGAATAAGGAATTGCTTTCATTTAGGAGATTAAAAGTATGTTTAAACTCCGTCGAAACCTGCTAATGCACGATCATAAGCTACCAAAAACGTTCGTTAATTTTTTCACTCTCATGAAGACCCACAATTGTCCAGTTGTCTGGGAACTGGACGTTAACTCAAATAAAATAAATTTTATTTGAAAGCTTAAGTTTAGAAGTTTGACAGAAACTCAGGTCGCACAGACCATTTTTGCTAAAAAACTGCCTTTGAGGAACGGCATAACTTTTTCTGTCGTGATTCTGTCACCGAATCTTTCTGCAATTTTACTTCAGACTATGCATTACATTCCAGGAAAGCCGTGCGGGCTACAGTGATATTGCTTCCTCTTTTGGGCTTGCACTACGTGGTTACTCCGTTCAGACCAGACAAGGGCTCTATCTTCCTCGCTTACGAGATCATCTCAGCATTGGTCACGTCATTACAGGTGAGAACTTTTGCCAATTTGAAGCATAGGTCTTTCGCGACCCTTTGAACAAGCTAGTTCAAGTGAGCGCTGTGCATTTTACACGCCCAGAAAGTACCGTATTGTGCCGGTAATCTTTCATCGCAGTGACATTTGCTATGATCATGCGCCAGCTACCAGCAGTGATCTTCAGCTTGACTTTGGTGGCCGTTGAATTTAACACCAAAGTGGCCAGAGCTTTTATATTGTAGCCAATAAACCATTTAACAATGTGTTTTTCTATTGAATATGATGACCATATTAGATTTTTTGTCTGTGGAAACCCCAATTCTAACTAAGTATGTGGAATAGTTATGGGAGCACTTGGAAAGGAAAGTGCGTAATTCATATGTGAAAATCATCTTGCTTTCATTTCGTTGTGTCCACAAGTCAAAATTCTGAATCACATCTTCTTCATTACTTTTCAGGGTCTTTGTGTTGCTCTCCTGTTCTGCTTCTTCAATGGAGAGGTGAGCTGAAATGTCATTCTTAAAATTGAATGCAACATTTGTGGACTGCATGAAAGCCGCACTTAGTCGTGTAATATACTAAAGACATAAATTTCCCGCGCTTGTAGTTCTTCGCACTGGCTTGCCCTCTGTCTGTATTAGGTGGTTCTCACCAAGGGTCACTATGCAACATGAACTTTAGGCAACCTAGATTCTGACAAATTAAAAAGTTATACGTATTACAATGATCTAGTAATGGAAAATGTGCTTGTTATTTTGAGGCCAACGTTTTAGTATTACACGACCAAGGAACGTATGCTGATTGCCTAGCCTTTGCGACAGATTCATATTACGCGCCTTAGATTGTGAATTTTCACGTTAGATAAATAAAGCTCAAAGGTAAGACATCTCTAATGAAATTGATAATGAATTGTTTAATTTCTTGAATGGTTTTATTGTTCAAGATAAAGGGCCCCATATGACAGTAACGAATGGTTGTTAGTTGAACCATCAGAAGGAAACGGTTTCTAAATTTTCGGTTTCACTTGTGATCAGTCTTTCTTCGTAAACTGAAGCACATGTTCTCCTACTAATAATTTATCTCTTTTCTTTTCCCTTTCCCTCCTTTCTTAGGTTCTAGGCGTCCTTCGGAAGACACTCTCGCAGACTCCATGTTTCAGGAACGATGGCCGACGGATGTCTTACGCGAATACCAGCATCAGCGTAAGTCGCTTTAGGAAGCCCCCGCAAAAGTATAAATGCGTGACCGTAATTTGAGCACCATGCCTTGGCTATGTGTGCTGCGTGCTAGCGTTGACACTCTTGCGTTCCGCGTGCTTTCCTATAGCTGCCGCCTGTGTACAGTGAGCCAGCGTGCATGGCACTTTTCCATCAAATGCATGCATACGCACCTTGATAGAAGTTTAGATGAGGTGTGGCTTGCGAGAGTACTAGTGGAATCCCCGTGGTTGTATTGCGTTATTGCCTTGTTTGGCGTAGTACACTTTATAGATGTGTTGAGCCATGCACATACAGCGACGTAAATGCTATTGCAATGAGCGGTTGCCCCTTTGTTTTAGCAGTGAGCCGAGTGATACGCGGAAGATCCGGCACACAGGGTATGTTGTTGTGCGCAATCTTTTTCTTCCTCTGGCGCCTGCAACAGCTTGTAATTCTTTGTCTTAGATTTACATCGCGCGTTTTCATTACGTAATGCAGTAAGATCTTAGTTTCATTCCACAACCTCGCTAGCATTTGACGTACATAGTACATCTCGGGAACCCTTCAATGCCGTAAACTCTGGCCTGCTTGTAAAGATAGCGCGTTTGTAAAATACTTCCTACGTTGCGCTAGATTTGTTTCAGCGTCTTCATATACTGCAATGTTCTTACATGCAGTTGTAGTTTTGAGAATGTTTGTTTCCACTTTGTTTTGTGGGGCAAAGGGAGGGTGGCATCATCATACATGGGATCGCACTTTCACAGTGCAATCTAGATTCGTGCTGCTGTGTTCCTGAAATGCACTCCAATCATGTGTGTTTAGTATTTATTGCGTCACCATCATCCGCACCTCTCACACCAAGACATCATCGCTAGGTTGACGGTCAGAGCTGGACATATTCAGTTGTAGTGGTTTGCGTAACGAGACATTGCTGGTGGCCCGCCCTTTTTCACCGGTCTGCCATGCGGCGACTTGAAGTACATCACGATGAAGATCAGTGCTTGCATGCTTAGCAAGCACGTGTAATGATCCTTTTTCTTCTTCCAGCGCCTTCATTCCTGTTATCCTCCCCATATCCCAAGCCCAAGCATCTCCCAGCTCTAGTGAAGTACGCGTATACTATTATTGAAGCGTATGTGCCTTGCTTCACTGTGTCGGCTATCGAAAGCATACGCCATACTCCGAGCTACATTTTGTGTTTCTAAAGTATTCCTTCTTGCGAGAGAATATATAACCACGTGCGCTCATGCACGGTGTTCTCTATAGCCTACACAACATATTTTCTTAAAACCTGGACCGCATTTTTGTATCGCATTGCCAAAAAAGGTGTCATGTGTTATAACACCTGTATGCTCCAAACTGATGTTACATAGATTCTTCACTTGTACAGATTTTTGTTCTGCGCCTGAAGCACACGATTCGTGTGACCGCAGAATTTCGTCTCATTAGGTGTGTCAAACGTATAACCAATGTATGTTCACGCAGACTGACCTCCATGTTTCACTGACTGAGCAGATGACGTCGCATTTGTTCTTTCAAGCTCTTAGATTCTTGCAGCAATGCTGGCTCTATGTTCGTAGTATATCATATATCTGTATAACGTTTGTATCAATGAACTATTGCTGTTCATAGCTGTAGAAATGCAAATGTTCGCCACTGCAAGAGCCTTGTGTTGCTTCACTTTTTGTCTGATTCCCGTAGTATATATGTATATTTGTTCTGTTCAAAGGAGCACAATAAAGCATGAAAGTTCACGGTGACATTTGCTTCGCATCGTGCAATACACTCACTCCTGTTCCGGTGCCCGTAGTCATAGGTACACAACCTGCATGCTGCTAAACTGCTCGAACTAGCACGATTTCAAAAATGTGTTCTTGACCTGCATGTATTCTTAGTCTGTGATATTCAGCACGTCACCTAAAATACATCACCTCGTCTGAACTGCTTATTTTACAGACATAACACTTAGAGTTTTAGGTATAAGAGACTTATCATGCAATATTTGGCATCTTTAAATGATGGCTCAATGTATGGTTAGACTAGCTGAGGTCTAATCGAATGATAACTATTCTAGGTGAGCTATCTGCCACACGAAACTGTTTTGAATGGTATTGTGACAGCTGTTATTTTGATGAATATATACGTAAAATACTGTAATTGCCGAGTATGACCGTATCTTCAAAAGCAACCGCAGTGGTGAAGAACCATTATAAGGCAGGCATGTCTCGCAGTCTAGAAAACTGGTGGTGGAAGCCTGGCAGAGGCATGCTTTTAAAAAGTAATATTTTTTTTTGGCGGAGGGAGGATCCATCAAAAGCAATTTTATTGCACTAATAGGAGGATTTGAAAAGTGGTGAATAACCATTACACGTAACTGCAGGAAGAAATATTACAAGAAAAAGGGTTGAGAGGCAAAGAAGATAACTAGTAGGAAAAAGATTGCTCAAGGCGCCGAGGAAAAAATGCCAGCACGCATATAACATCGTGAATTATTACAAAACATGAGCCGCGAAATAAACAATTCAAACTGCAGATTTTTCTGTTTGCCACCGGTACACAGTATTTTCATAGTGCGCTAAAATGCTGCAGAACTGCTCTGCTCCGAAAGATACCTTTCGAAGCATTCTACGCTTCATTTGTCAGGTTTGGCTAAAACTCGTGATATATTCTCCTAACACGTAACGAAAGGCGCACTCACAGCTTAGTCGTTTCCTTTGCAGTTTCTTCCAAGACGTTCGTCTGACGGCAGAAGTCCGTCTGTGTCGCCCAACCATCAGCAGACCATGCTGTGAAAGAAAACAAGCGGGGAGTTTGTGCGTAGAAAAAAAACAAAGACTGGACAATCGACGTTCTTGTCATTTGAGGATCTGATACCCTGTGGGACAATTGCGCTGTGCAGACAAGGATATGCACTGGCGATGTGAACTTTTTTGGTTACACGGCCAAACAATCATACCCAAGTGTGCTTGCGTGGAGACATCACTGTGCTTACATATGTCGCGATGTGCATATCAACTGACAGACACCACCTTTATTCACCGTCTACATCGACAACAACTGCATCGGACTATAGATCACAAACAATTCTCGTCTTTTGTTTAGTTAATGTTTCTGTTTGCATATACCTAGTCTCGTTTTTCGTTTTCGATGTTGCTGTTTACCGAGGTGTGTGTTGAACCACCGACTGTGCTGTTCACGCAAGAAAAGCGCTTACGAGTGCCAATTGTTTACGAAATATATCGTCAATTGTGTAACATTGAAGGTCTCAGAGGCTAAAAGTGCCGGTGATTTTTCTTATCTAAACTGACACAAAAATAAGCCAAACACGTGGAGAAAGAGTGCGAATGCTTCGGGAGCATGGACATGAAGTCGCAAAGGTAAGTTTGCGGTTGGTAGACGTACGCGATGATTTGCTGTGCCGATCATGACTTCTTCAAGAACGCTTATTCCAGGAATTTCGTCCAACCTCCCACTTTTTCACGACTTTCGAAGGAAGAATGGGGAATGTACAGATGTAACATGCGTGTCAGTGGGAAGATAAGCAACGTAATAAATTGTGAATAATAGATAAAAAGAATTCAATAGAACATTACCAAAAACTGGCTTGATCCATCCGTCATAAACATCTCTATATACCAAAAACGGAAAACGTCTACTTACATAGTTAGTTGTTTGATTACTGCAGATCCAATAAGGAAGCTTATACAATATATGTTGGAGTTTGGCAACAGAAACACTGTTTGATATAATTGCATCTGCGTCGACGCTTAGTGATGCCTCTGCATCCCGACGACTAACGTCTGGGATTCGAGATTGTATAATGAGTATACATGCCTGTGTCGTCATAGAAGCCTGTGGTAGCCGTAGTAGTTAACGCTGAGAGTGGAACCAGCAAAAAAAAGGGGGGGGGGTGACAACTAGAACAGCGTGAGTGGTTGCACGACAATTTGAGCCAAGGCCGCCTACTAACGGCAGCTTAGAGTTATTGAGCGCCATTGCTCGATTAGAGGGAAACGCAACGCGCCTTGTGTCTTCTCCTTTGGCCCTGGCCACGATTTTTCGCGAATCATACGCAAGCGAGAAATGCGGAGTTACGTCCAGGTGAAGAAGGTGCATTGCCGAGCTATTTTCGGTATGTATGGATGCTATGAGCCGCGCCGACGCTTTCCGTAAGGTTGCCAGGTGGCGGTGCGTTAGGCGTTTACAAAATTGCACTCTTCCTATTGAAAAAGCGTTGAAGAGTAGGGTGCGTAAAAAAGCACGATTTGAAGGAATTAGTGATGGATGTCATAGTGTTGAAGCAATACTACGTTTCAGCAAGAGTACTGTGAGGGGCATTTATAAAACCTACGAAGAATGTGAAGGTGGCGCAGTAAATAGCGTGCCCGGCATCTATGAGCGTGACTCGTGAAGTCTTGAGTTCGACTTCCCTTTGAAAGAGCTTTTATCTGCTGATCGTTGCATTGTTTCAACGTCACTTCTGTGACAGAAATACGTCACTGGAGTCTTGGTGCACCTCGGCATAGAACACTTCCGTGTTGAAAAAAATAAACATGCGAGGGAAGGCGAGAATTGAAGGGTCAGTGTTACATCACTCGGGAATTATTGCTGAGTGATTGCTTGGAAGAAAGAAACAAAATAAAATCGGGAGGAGTATCACATGCAAATTTTCATTTGGAGGGCCTATAAAAAGCCAGAACACAAGCTAAAAATAGCCATACATGCCATTTTGTTATCATCGCCAAGTTTGTAGCCAAATTGTGACAAAATGAGTGTTCAAAAGTAAATATTACAATATGGAATAGGCGATATCATAGACAAAAAAGTATAATTTTTCCAGATTGGTTCGTCTTCAAGCAACAAATTAGTTGCAACTAAATATACAAGCTAAAATAAAGTCATTGCACATGGGTTTTGTTTATGCAGGAAAGCTAAAGTTCTTGTCAGACAGAGTTAATTGAGAACATTTCCTGAAGCGTCAGACCAAATTTGATTAGTGGAGTTGACATAATACAAGTCTAGTTTCAGTTAGTGAAATCTGGTTGAGAATGAAAACACGCGCTTCATTTTACTGAAATAAAAAGGTAAATAAGTTCGTGTTGGTTATTGATAAGACACAGCACATAGGGAACTAAGGACACTTGAAGACGCGCTCCATGGTAGAGAATTTTTCATTTATAAATAAACATATTTGTAATGCAGTCATGCCACAGAAAACCAAACGAGTTGACATGAAAAATACCAAACGTACAAACGCTCTGCACGATAACATTTTTTGTCGTTCAAGCAAAGCTATCTCTCCCTCCTGCAGATTAATGCAACATGGCCCCTCCAACCCGATAAGAAAGGCCTGACTTCCCTCAACCATCGTACCTGTGCGTCACCGTATAACACATTTTATTTGGTATAACTGCGCCACAAATATTTCTCGTGAATCCACAATTCAGTTGCTATAAGCTCGTCCCATGTCTCTTTTATGGTGTTGTGTATTCCCCCCCCCCCTTAGTTATCAGCTTCTTTTTATTGTAGGATCTTCGCTAATGTAAAGTTTGCAGCAAACACGCATTGCGCATTAGAACTACTCTTAGAAACTTGTGTGTGTCATCAGCATTGATGCCGGTGCGGCGGCTGCATTTCCGATGGAGGCGGAAATGTTGTAGGCCCGTGTGCCCTGGTTTCAGTGCACGTTAAAGAACTCCAGGAGGTCAAAATTTCCGGAGCCCTTCACTACGGCGTCTCTCATAATCCTATGATGGTTTTGGGACGTTAAACCCCACATATAAATCATAGATGCCGGGCAGCGTGAGCAGCGTACTGAACTCAGGTTTGTCACCCTGCATGCAATTTCACTACTCCGCATTTTCCGGTGGGCCGAATGGTACCCAAGAGTGCTTCGATGCGCACCAGCCTGCTGGTGGGTGATGGACACGCATACGCATGTGTCAACGTAGCCAAGAAGTATTGCCAAGCAGCCAACTGAAACATTTTGATCGCCAATCTCTCTCAAAAAGTAGCCGATTTGGTGCAAAGCCACCACCAACGCCAACCCTTACGCATGATAGCGTTGAAGTACAGCCGTGATAAACAAGCAAGATGAATTATGCTAAAGCGCGCGTGCGTGTTGTGGCACGTGGTGGAGTTTCTATGATCATTCTTGGGTAGCCCGGGTCGCTTTTCTGCTCGGCTGATGAGGCACTCGGAAGTTGTGACGCGCAGCTAATCGTGTTGACATCCGAGCGTTGCTGTTGCCGTAGCAACGGCAACAATGTTTTCGGATATACCGAGGCCTACAACCTATAATGCCAAACGTGGCGATCAGAAAGCGAGAGGGGTGGATGGCTCGCACAATACCGGATTCTCGTGCAAGCCAAGCCTCTGACCCGTAACAAGCTGTCCACTCTTTCTTAAACTCAATGCACGGAGTTTGACGAGTAAACGTGGTGGTACACGTCGTACAGCAGGCACTTTTGCCTCATAGTGTCTGCCTTGTGTGTGAAAGCGTGTTTAGATCATGGTCCGATTTACTCACAAGCACGGCAGAGAGCAAAGCGACTGAGAGCATTTCCGAACAAAAAAAAAAAGTTGAACGTCGTAAGGATTGGCAGTGGCGCCGGAAGTGCTACATTGCAACTTCGTACTCGTATTAGCACCGCACAAAGCCGTTAGAAATTGAGAAAAAATAATTAGGCCGACGAAATCGACGACGCCCAACTGCATGAGACAAAAGTCATCTCTTGATATCAGAACTCAGGGTTAATGGTATAGCGCAATATAATGTACGCAAAATAAAGGTATCCATGAACTACTAGAAACGCAATTGCGCAAGAGCAAGTGTGACTGATAAGTGAACGGAGTCAGAGAAAAGCATTCATTCAAATTCTCTGAGTCTTCATCGTATTCATGGACATTTCACTATAACAATTAGGGCTCACATTCATCCACCACGAAATTCGGCAGGCTCCACGAATCTTGGGAATCGATTTTACGCAAAGCATGTCGATTTAAGGTGACTGTAGTTGTACTTTTCATGGAGTGGTTGTAATTATAAGTAAAATTCACACAACGATGTACGTTAAGCAGTGCATATGCTTCATATAATCAGTTGAATACAGTTGCATGGATATTTCACAGCAACATAAATGTTACAGTTAACAGTTGCAGTTGTTTACAGTCGCATATTGCACAGCAATATGAATAACAGCAACACCAGAAGCAGCAAGCTGAAATGAAGCACTGTTGCTCGCGAGGATAGTAGCCCTGGACATTGCTGCATAGCTCAACGTCAGCGGATGGCACCTAACTACAATTGATATCAACCTGACGTGACGGCTGTATTTCAGGAGTACATACGTACTGCTTTTGAAATTCAATAGCCCGTACTTCAATCACAATAGACGCGTCACCAACATTCGAATCTATATGAAAAGTAGTACTGAATCATTGCGTGGCTCTGTGGCAGAATATTTGATTGCCACGCAAAATGCTGGCGTTTGATTTACGCTGGGACGCTGAAATTTATTATTTGCATTCATCGCGTGAAGGCTGCTGCTTTCAGCTTTTTTCTTAAAGCTCACGCAGTTAACATTACACATACCGGAGTTCTTGCCGTTCCTAGGTAGATATAAAGTGTCAATAACCTGTGGCACATAACCACCTGTTGGTATGTGCTAGTGTCTGATGGAAAGCGTTTGACGATGTACGCGACGCGATTGTATGGAGGCGGAAATGTTGTAGGCCCTGTGCTTAGATTCGGGTGCACGTTAAAGAACCCCAGGTGGTCGAAATTTCCGGAGCCCTCCACTACGGCGTCTCTCATAATCATATGGTGGTTTTGGGACGTTAAACACCACAAATCAATCATAGATGCCGGGCAGCGTGCTGAACTCAGGTTTGTCACCCTGCATGCAATTTCACTACTCCGCATTTTTCGGTGGGCCCAATGGTACCCAAGAGTGCTTCGATACGCGCCAGCATGCTGATGGGTGGTGGACACGCATACGCATGCTTAAACGTAGCCAAGAAGTATTGCCAAGCAGCCAACTGAAACATTTTGATCGCCAATCTCTCTCAAAAAGCAGCCAATTTTGTGCAAAGCAACCACCAACGCCAACCCTTACGCATGATAGCGTTGAAGTACAGCCGTGATAAACAAGCAAGATGAATTATGCTAAAGCGCGCGTGCGTGTTATGGCACGTGATGGAGTTTCTATGATCATTCTTGCGTAACCCGGGTCGCTTTTCTGCTCGGCTGATGAGGCACTCGGAAGTTGTAACGCGCAGCTAGTCGTGTTGACATCGCAGCGTTGCTGTTGCCGTAGCAACGGCAACAATGTTTTCGGATACACCGAGGCCTACAACCAGTAATGCCAAACGTAGCGATCAGAAACGAGAGTGGTGGAAGGCTCAGACAATACCGGATTCTCGCGCAAGCCAAACCTCTGGCCCGTAACAAGCTGTCCACTCTTTCTTAAACTCAATGCACGGAGTTTGAGGAGTAAACGTGGTGGTACACGTCGTACAGCAGCCACTTTGCCTCATACGGTCTGCCTTGTGTGTGAAAGCGTGTTTCGATCAAGGTCCAATTTACTCACA